ACTTTATAGACATAAGTTACACAACTGATGTTCCAATACAAAGAGTTGGATGTTGTCTTGATATTTGTTAATTTTATATATTGAGAAATATGTTAAATTAAAAAAATAAATAAAAGTTTTTTATTGAAAAAAACAACACACACAAAGTACCGAAAATTGGTACCGTTAAGTACAAGTATTGATTCCCAGGTACCAGATATTGGTACTGAATCGATTCAAATGTCAAAGGTGCCCATCCCTAACAACAGGTCCCCTCACTGTCAGGGTACGGAGATCAGGGTCTATCTATGTATGCCAGGGCTCCAGCCCCCACATCCCACCAGAGCCGTATCTTCCTCTTGGGCCCCTTTCAGGGGGTCTCAGTGGGAAACATCTGCACAGCTGCCAGTGGGCATCTCCTCACACTTGATCAGACTCTACCACCTAGATGTGACTGAGTGGTCCCTGGCACACTCAGTCCTTCAGGTAGATCTCAGCTCAGCACCAGCCCCTGATGGGGGCTAGGCCTTAAGATGTTTGACCTCAGAAGCTTCCATGATTCACACCTGAAGTCACTTCCATAGTGAGATAGCTCAGTGAGCTGTCAGAGAAGCAGGGCTACCTGTAGTAGTTCAGTTTTCACATGTTGTGTTTGGATCAGCTCCTGTGAGTCATGTTGAACCAACCAACCTGCTTCTCTTGTCTCCACTTTGTGTTCAGGACAATGGTGTGAACAACCAGCAGATGGATGATCTGTTTGACATCCTGCTCAGGAGTGGAGGTAACACACTGTCTTATCTTAACCAGAGCTAACAGGAAAGGGCAGGAAGGGTATGGCAGGCTGTTATGTCATGTATCTCATCACTTTTTCTGTCTCTAGTTACGCTTTTACATTTCAATCATTTGTTCTGGTCACAGCCACATTCTTACTAGTCAGAATTAAAATGAAAGATATTTTTACAACAGATACTTAAATAAAAGATAATTGGAACGCTATTAGCAAAAAAATGTCCCAATATCAATATTATATCCTGAAAAATGAAAGTGAGGTAAACAATAAGAAAATAAGTGACTTGACTTTTAGTAGTTGAAGATGTTTTATTAAGCATTCAGGAGGAATAATAAGTGCTTACAGTTTATGAGAGCAGAGTGAAGAACACGAGTCATCAGGGTGGGCCAGTCTCTGTCTGAGGGTCCAGTTATGTGTGAAACAGCTCACAGCTTTACCTTAATGCAGAGAAGAGACACAGTCCTCCTACAAGACAAGTTACAAGGTGACCCGGCTCGTCTCAGGCTGCACCTGATGGAACGATATTCATGGTGTTCAACAAGGACAAGTCCAACCTGGAGCTGCATGTGAGGACATGTCCTCCTCCCAGCTCAGTGGACATCAGCACCTGTCCACCTGGACTGCAGTCAGTCTGTCTCCTCTTGTCACCATGAGACAGGTTCAGCATTAGCTGGTAGTTTGAATCCTGTCCTGTTGGACTGATGAGGAGGAACACATCAGGATGCTTCTCAGAAATCTCAAGCTTTAAGGTCAGGAGTGTTGATTATGTGACACAGCAGCCTGCCATACCCTGAGCCACCTGCAGTGAGCCAACAGGCAGCTGGCTCACTGTTTGTTTGTTTTCTTAGTTAGTTAGTTAGTTAGTTAGTTAGTTAGTTAGTTAGTTAGTTAGTTAGTTAGTT